AATCATGAGCCAGTGTAACGAAATAATGTCCGGTTGGCATGAAGACCAGGCAGTGCTATTTATGTACTGATGACATGAAATAGAGGAAACTAGACTCGTCCTTTGCCAATGGATAAATTGGAAGAAGGTACGGGGAGAGGAACAATAAAAAAATCCAACAAAAATGTTAAAAGATTAAGAAAATAATACCTCTGAGGAAGAGCTAAGGAACTGGGCATATTCACTCAAAACAATAGCTGAGAGGAGAGGAATCTATCTGTATGAATCTAAGAGACGCTATGCAGAAGACATGAGCCAATTATTTTCAGTCAACAAGAACAGAGAAGTAGTAACGTGTATGAGACAGAGTGGGAAATTCAAGTTGACTATTTCCTGAAACCTGTAACATCTGAGCAGTAGGACGAGCTGCCAGCAAAAGCAGCAGTTCTGCCTGTTGTGGAGAAGGGACTTGCGTGTCTCTCTGGATTTTGCTGGTTTGTCCTCATTAGCCTAATAAAAAATAACACAAGGAGCAAACCAAAGCGAAGGAGAAGAGCTAATTAAACTGTAGCTTCAACAGTTTCATACTAACTAAACTGTAACTGTACCATTTCATACAAGAAAAAAATGTATCCTGACTACCCATAAATTAATTCAGACTGGAAGTTAGACTATTTCTAGGCATTAAAGGAGTTTCTCTAGCTCATCATGCAATGTCACAGAAAGGATGGGGTTCAGAGAGCATCTGCATAAACTGAAGAAGGTGGATATTGCTGAAGTGTTGTGGTCAGGTTGCTGGCAGGGATAGAGGACTTTATTATCCTGCAGAAACTTTGATTCCTAGAGCCTATATTCCTAAAACTGTTAGGGAGGGAGCCTTGCTGGCAGCTAACTGATCAGACAGTTTCACTTTTCACTTCTCTGTAAAAGGGAATGGAATCTCTTTCACTTAACAAAAAGAGGAGCTGATGAGACACAGCATGATGATTTAGGGCTCAGCTCTGAAAGCTGTATGTTTCAACTGGAATCTTTTCTTAGCAAGGCTTGTGTGATCAGCCCTTTTTCCCCAAAGAAAACAATGTCAGTTGAGAGAGATTCACTGAGGGAAATAAGTGAATTGTAGGAAAAAATCCTACAGGGAAGGTCATGGCTATTTATTTCTGGCTGGGGCCTCAAGTAATGACTTTGAATTAACATCTGTGATTGCTGTAGCAGTAAGAAGACATTGATGCACAATAATGCAAAAACCACTTTATGGTGATGGGGGCTGTGAAGGAAATAATGGGGTTTTGACACACAGAAAAATACAACACATCTTTTTCTGCTAAGGGGTCATCTGCATGTTCAAGGTGAATAGTGTTACTGGAGGGAGACAGGGCATCTGTTCAGTCTATAGCTGCTGCTGTTAAGATTCATGTTTCATAGATGTTCAAGTCCTAATTTACTCTTGTTGATATATATATATAGCAGGTAGTTTGGGCTAGAGGGGAGAATATATGTTACAAACTGTCTTTTTTTTTTTTTTTTTTTTTTTTTTTTTGCCTTTGCACAAGATTTCTGTTCAGCAGCACTAATTTCTTCATTAAGCTAAAGCCCAGACTCTTCTGCTTTGCACACAAATAACTGAGTAGCATGTGTTGTGCAGTGGGAGGTAGGGTAGAGGATGGAGTAGAAGTGTTAGAACAAGCCCAGCACAGTAGGTAGCAGAAAGCACAAGCACAGCAGCTAACTTGGCCTGCCTGAAGATGGTAGGAAATCTCCAGCTGGAACAGCTTTAATGATTAAATGAGGTGTCTGGAAAGTTTTGCACAATGTGAGCTTGATGAACTTCAGGATGTATTGCAAAAGCCATTTATCTGATGGCTTGAGTAGCTGTTCTGTAAGGCTTTGCAGGAGGAAAGACAGGTTCTTCCTCTGGAGTTCTGATATGAGCTCAGGTGAAGACTGTGGGGGAGTTTGGGTTTTCCACTGACTTTTAGTTTATGTTAAACTGCCCTCCCTTCAGGACTTAGCTCTTGTGAGATATTACAAGCTATAGAACTTTAATTAAGTACACATCTTTTGGTCTAATGAAGAAAAGACCTGAGAAGTTAGGGACAAATGGTGAACTAAGGGCACTTTGTTTTCTTGACTGGTTGAGTTATTCCAGTATTTATAAGTAATTATGTTTTGCTGCTGGATGGTTATCATTTGTACCTGTGAGCCAAAGTACCTCTGGGGCACTCTGGAGTTCTTCATATAGGTATCTAATTATTTAAGTGGTTACCTCTTACAAAGTATTTTAGTTGCTTCCAGGGTTTGACACAGGTTTCTGCATGATGGTATGCTGTGCACTACAAACCAATTTAAAATACCAGGATTCGCAATGTTTAAAGTTCCTTGACTGTCAAGCACAGGTTTTCACAGTTCCCTTGCAATTACTGTTGTTTTTCTGTAAGTTTGAGAGCATCCTGTGGAAACGACTGCAACTGATACAGCCCTGATATTGACCTGGAGAGTTTGTGGTTGTACTTACGGGCAGACCAGGGGTGAGTCATTGAATCCCAGACACGTTCACACACATGCCCATAGCTGTTTTGGGAAAAAAGTAAAAGCTTGAGACTTTTTTGTTGTTGTTGTTCCCCCCACATGTGTTCAATGTTTGCTTCTAAAGTAATTTACGTAGTTCTGCACTGCAGTCATTGAGCAGTGGGCCTGTTAATGCATACAATGTGCCCTTCCAGCAAAGCCTTTAAGATGTTTTCACTGTAGCATACAGTTGCCTTGGAAAGATTTAAACTGCACCAAAAATTAAAGGATATTTTCCAGTTCACCTGGAGGGGAAAAACAAGCGTCACTTTCTTGACAGGAGATGAAAGAAATGGAGAAAAAATATTTTTGGGCCACACATCAGAGCACTTACGTAGTTCTCATCATGGCATTTAACTTGCCCTCTGTTGAATCTTCATTTTTCATGTATCAGACACCTACAGCATACAGCTCTATTGAGCAGGAAATGCAGTTTGTTGGTATATTTTCAAAAATAAGATTCAGATGAATTGAAATGGGAAACAGCAACAAACATTTTTACATCTTTTTTTCTTTGTGAAAGAAACCCTTGCTTTTTCTAGTAAAATAACTTTTACTTCAAACCTCAGTCTGTGCATCAATCAAAGGTAGGCATTTATAAAAAATAATAACAAAAAAGACTCGGCAATTTATTCTTCAAAGGTTATTTTTGTTCTACACCCCATCTAGGTAAATGTGTCATGCTTTGCAGATGAAGACACTCATGCAAAGACGTCTGACTCCGATGTCTTATTGTCTTATTGTCTCTCTCCTTGTGCTGAAAGTTAAGCCAGGTTTATCTGCATCAGTGCAAGGCTTGGATCATGCAGGAGGTTGGACACAATATCTGCACCTGAGAAGTAATTATAGCTCAGGACCCTGGCATCCAATTGTCTGAGGAAATAAGTGGACACACCATAAAACTCTGATTGTTTTAAATGAGAGGCTCTCCTGTGGACATAGATAAATCCACTGTAACTGGCCAGTTCACTTCTGACTCCTGTTAAATTCTGTATTATAAAAGCACAGTGATAGTGTTTTCTTACTTTGCTGTCATGCAAACAATGGAGTGAATTTCAATGGAAAATGTAGGCTTTGTTGTCCTCGCCTGGGTGCACCTCTCTGTGGGACTTGAAGTGACTGAATCTCCCTTGTAGAGCTGCAGGCTGCTGTAAAATGTCATCTCATCTGGGAGCTGTTCCTGGTTTTCATTCTGTTCTTTTATTTGGAAAATTCTCAATATTCCAGTGAGTCCTGGAGGCACACACTTAGGATTTTGTAATAGAGAAAAAGAAGAATGCCTCTCAAGACTCAGCAAAAAGCTGAAGTGTCTCCCAGAGTCTCTGTTGCAACTGCTACTGTGAGGTTGTCTTATGTGTCTCAAAGCCTAGCTCTGTAGCTAGTAGTGTGTTGATAAATAAAGGAGTAGGTGAAATGATTTTGTGATGTATCTAGGAAGTGGGTAAAACTTCTGAGCCAGCTTGAAGGTGGCTAAACTCCCTTGCCCTTGGCACAGCTCTGACAGCAGCACAAAGGGAGCTATAAGCAAATTGCTTCAGGTTTTGAGTAACAGCAGGAATTGGAGATGAGAGACAAGATTTTCTCTGGTTTGAGTGGAGGAGGGAGGGGATTCTTGCTTCACAGTCATCCAGTGCAGCTCACCATTGCTAGTCAAGCCCAAGGGTGTTGAATGGGCAAAGCTATTAAGAGAAACACTCAAGATTGAGATAAACTCATCTAACTACAGACTTCCATAGCTGATCCAGTCATACTGACCCTTTTAAAGGTCAGTGAAGAGAAATAGGCACTTCTGCGGGGCAATCCTTTTTCTTACCTCTTTTATATAGCCACTTTAGGATGAAGTGAATTATACCCTTGGGAGTGACTGTTCCTCTTCTTTAACTGTAGAACGAGTCTCGATAACCAGCTCAGACCAGATCTTTACAGTAAGGAATCCACAACTCGGATAAAATCATCCCACCATCAGGCATTTGAACTTAGGAAAGACGAGACTTCTCTGTAAAGTTTTTTCCCTTCTTGTAGAGTATGGGCTGGGGCTGAGATTATATGCAGGCCTGGAGCTTGGGGATGGTTTAATGGCATAATAGTGGCGTAGATTCCTGCCAGCCTGACAGACACACTTGCTGGTAGGAAAGGGTTCTTTTCAAACCTGTGGATAAGGCTTGAACGTCCTTGGTTTACGCTTCTGTAAGTTGTCGCTTGTCACCTCCATGTTTTTAGCTGTAGTATTGATTTTGTTAAGAAATTCCCATTGTTCTGCCTTCAAGAAACAAATGCAGGAGTGTTCCAAAGAGTTCCTGTTTTGTCTGAAAATGGAAGATTACAAAAAATGGTAGTGGGTGATAGATGAGCCCCAGCTTACTACAACGGGCAATCTCTGATAGATTACCGGAGCTGGCCGTTAGACAATGCACAGTTGGGACAGGGTTTTAATGACCAAATTTTTCTTCCAGAAATGGCAGTGTGTGGAAGATGCCAGTGGAAAGCTCAAGCTACACAAGTGCAAGGGAATGGTGAACTTGGCAGCTGTAGGCAACAGCAAAGGCACCTCCAACATTTTGCCCAAATATTACAACAGGAATAGTGAAGACTGCAATTGTGAAGAGAATGAATACAAGCTGAGCCATGTCGGTCGGAGAAAGAAACTCTTCTCCAAGAAAAGTAAGCAAACCTACTGCCTCTCTGCCTTAGAAAACTGTTATGAGTTTGTTTGCTAACACGCATAATTGTCCTGACTTTCATGGGCATTGAATTCTATCAGCATATTTACTGTGTATCTACCTATGAAACAGTGTGCCACATATTGGACAATCGGATTTGGAAATATCCTTGTCTGTAGGAAGAGGAGTGTTATGATCCAAAATAGGGTCCTATATTTATTTCTTTCAAAAATGGAAAATGCAGTACACACCCTGAAACGGCAAGTACCGCGTGCTTACATAGGCCATGAAACACAAACAGTGTTTTACAGCAAATACTCCAATTTTCAGTAGGTATTGCAATGCTTGGAGCCATTACTGCAGTATTTTATTTTTAATAAGGATGCGCGTGCTTTGTTACAGAAGCTGCTAGCTTCTGACATCCTTTCCTTGTGCTCAGTCAGCAGAGACAAGGCTGACTTTTAACCAGAGATCACGTCCAAAGGGGATGACTCTGTTTCTAGTTTCCTTGGCACAGATCAGGTGCTTTTTCAGAAAGCCCATTCCACTGGCTCTGTATTAAATCTTAGTCAGACTAACATCTATATTTGAAGTACATAGTCTAATTATAGATTAAGGAGGCAAACGGCAGCACAGAATTTTTATTCACTTGTAATGTTTCTTTCGTCTCACTCCACAAATACAGAGCCTTAATTATTTAGCAGATTAGTCTTTCTGTATAATGACATGGCACAAGCTTCAAACAGAGAGTTTAAATTGATTTTCTCCCATTATATTTGCCTTGCAAGCTGATTAGTACCTACTAAGATAATTTTTAGTTGAAAAAAATTATTGGTTCCAGGAAGAAATTACTCAACTGTACTTGCTGTTTAAATATGTGGCACAGCAGATAATCTTTAAATAACACTGGAACTTGCTGTTCAATTAACTTTTTTGTTTTTTTAAATCGCAAGGAAGAAAGTTCACACATGGGGAGTCAAATAACAGGAGTAGATCGAAGGCACTTAAATAACAAGAGGAAAACAATTTAAGTGAGGGCAACACAATGCTATCTGATAATACTTAACACTCACTTAAGTACTTTTCATCTGTGTCGTGCTTCCTAAACATTAACTCATTTTCACAACATCCAGAGGAGGCGGTTAAGTGTATAATTACCTTTAGTTTATGTATGAAGGAGGTTGAGGTACAAAAAAAGTGAAGGTTGCTCCCTCTAGCAGAGGGATCAGAATGGTTTTTTTCCTGTGTTCTGCTCAGAAGAGGCAGAGTTTATACTGCACCCTTCAGCTCACTTGCCTTATTGAACCATAAGGCATAAACTGTAGCAGCATGAGATAAGATCTTGACAATCACGTTCCCATTGCTTGTGTCTTGAGTAAAATAATTGACTCCACAGACGCTTTGTTTTTCCCTCTGCCCACGTCCAGGGTGTGCCATACAGTGGAAGAGGTTACCTTGGACCTATTGACATACTCTTTGATTTGGTGTTGGCTATTCTTTTACATGCACTTATCTAATAAATCACACACGGAACGCAAATGAGCACAAAGCAATTCAAGTCAAGGTAACATAGCAAGGTTTTTCTAAACCGCTTACCTAGAAAGCTGCCTCACTGGATTGTGAATGGTAAGAGGGTGACCTGAATACTGATGATGTGTGTTTGGATTTTTATGCCCTGTTTCATGAGGCTTGGGATAAAGTGCAGTCTGTGCTGGGTTACATAGTTCTGAGGGCATCTTTGGAGTCTGCTACTCAGAATTTGATGAGTGCATGGGATCATACTGCAGCCCTACTTGAATGCTATTCATCAGATTGAACAATAGCTAAATAGAACGCAGAAATTTCAAACTGGACTAGGGTCACATCCACATGAATGCTTTAGTTCACAGCAATAGCGTAGTTGAAGGAAACACCCTGATCACTGCCTTCTGTCATGCACAATAGAGATGGATTTGCAGAGCAATTTTGACGGATTTTAATCTACAGTCATTTGCAGAGAACTAAATTGGTTGCCCTGCTTCTAGGGTGCATCAAGTGTGTTGCAAACCCTGATGGGGCTTATGCGGATTGGTCCTCCAGAAAGATTAAAACCAGCTATGTGTAGTGAGAACCTGTGATCTAAAAGACCAGACTAAATTGCTGATAGAGGGGCTGGAGCACCAAATGTTTTGATAAAATAATTACTTTCTACTGTAGGCATGGTCTAGACCCATTGCCATGTGCACCAATGCACTTAGCAGGCACAATGTTTTCTCAATTGAGTAAATGCAGTTGCAGAAGAGGGTCCTGTCACGTACGCGCCATTTGGGCCATGTACATATACACAACTCGCCTGCAAAGCTTTTAGGTGCTAGAAACACATAAGCATTAATATTTGGTATATTTGGGTTTGGGTGTCAGGGATGTTTGCATTTCTGTGTCCTCTTTGTTTTCTTTAGTATGTTTTTATTTTTATAAGAAAGATGAAAGAAAGCTTTGCAGTAGGAAGAAACTTTAAAGTGAGAGTGAGCACTTAAAATCTTTGGCGGTGTTGTGGCCTATTATGTTTTTCTTGCTGTGGATTTGATCTCCTCCTCCTGTGATGAACAAGTGCATGTGATTAAAGGAGTTATTAAGCTGAATGTAGAGAAATGGTGATAGGCCACACAGGTTTGTAAACAACAAACAGAAGTGTGTACAAAGGGCCTAGTGCATTTTTATTCCAATTTTCATGTCATTCATTTTTCTTTTGAGGTGGTCTCAATGCTGGAGCAAAATGACCTTCTTTGTTATTAAAAAAAACCCAAAAAACCCACAAACCTGAACATCAGCTACTTTAAAGATAATGCATCTGAAGTTTAATGGCAGTTATGAGAAACTGGAGTAAGAAAGTGTTTTGGGTTGGTTTTTTTTCCTCTTTGAAATATCTAAGGATACAGATTCAAAACAAGATTTCTCAAAATCCCTAGGTACAAATTGCACAAGAAAAAACACCTCTAAACCTTCATCCATATTTCTAGACACTCGAGACATTTTAAAAAATTTTACTTCAAAGTGCCTAATTTCACTTTGGTGTTATAGAAAAAAATGCTTTTTCTCTACAAAATTCTGGAAAATTTATAGACATTACTAGGAAATTTCAAGCAGGAATTCATGAGACCAGTGGTGAATATTTTCCTCGTGGTACGTGTAGAAGCAGAATCCTTGCATACTGGCTTATTCTATCGTCATTGTGATGCTGGAAAATACATCGGATCCAAAATACCTACATAGAGCAAGTGTCAACAGGGAAGACCAAGAATTCTCTGTCTTCTGCAGCATTTCCGCTGAGCAGTCCTGCTCCTGCTTTGGTGAAATTGCCATACAGTAGTTACAGTTGGTTACAGTCTGCTCAGTTACCCCTGAGAAAACTATCATTTCCAAATGATCTCAGTGTTAAATCATTAATTTGGTGGCTGCAAAATAAGTAATAAGTCTTGAGTGATGAAGATGTGAGGAGAGTTAAATACAAGCCCAAAGGCTGGGCATGCTTACTGCAGGGGGGTTGGGCTCGATGATCTCTCAAGGTCCCTTCCAACCCAAAGCATTCTATGATAATCTCTCTATGTTTGTCAGATATGAAGTTTATGGTTTTATAATACAACATTGCCTTGCTTTATTCAGTTGAATAATAATTTTGGATACTGTAGTTCGTGCTTTCACTAGACAGTGTTGAAACCTGAGATGCTACTAAAAAATAGTTGTAAAAATTCAGGTGTGTTTGAGTCTCTGGACAGTCTGGGGAAATCTGGACCAGAACAGTGTACTTTGTTTCAGGCTCCAGCGAAGACAAGCATGCTTGTCAGGTGGTCCAAGAAGACACAGCTGGATGAGTGGAGCACTGAAACATAGTTAGCTTCCTTAAGCTTAAAATTCTCCAGACTCCATTTCCAGACTCAATTCTGAGGATGCAACTTTTCAGCCATACCATCTGTAAGACAGCTGGCTTCTGTGAGACCAAAGGAAGAGAGGCATCGGGACTCACAGAACTTACCAAAGCCAAACTTTAATAACTTGAAGAGGTGTTCTGGGCCAAATATTTAACAGCCCTAGATCGACTTTGTTTGTGGGTTGCATACACAGGTAAATGAATTGGAGAGTAAAACTTAATCCTGGGGGAGGATCGACTAATAAGTAATTAGACGTTGGTATTTATGCCTGCGGTGCACTTTGCAGGTGGGAGAGCACAGCACAGATGAATATTGATCCTATTCAATATTCTAACCACTTCCTCTGAAAATAATGGAGTTTGGTATTAATCATAGCGCTGAGTCAGCACTGTGGATAGCACGTTGCAGTAAAGCGATACAAGTCCTTTACGAGCAGTCTCACTCCAGACCAATTTGTTCGTTGTAAGGCTGGGTTAGTTTGGCTGCAAGGGAGGAGTAACTCCTGGCTTCCAATCCTTCAGGGACGTGTGTAGACGACAGTTCCCTGCAGCGATCTGCTGAGGTCCAACATGCTGGATTGGCATATTAGGCTTGGAAGGAAGGTAAATTGTTAGTTGGCTGAGCTTAACAAGATGAAATGAGGGAACAATTAAAGCAATGGGAGTTTATACTTTGAATATAATTGTTAGGGTGTAGCTTTTTGGAACTTCTATTTCTGAAAAGATGGGAGTTTCCTTCTCATGTAGTCAAACGTTTCCCGACTGGGTGCCTGAAACAGGGTTGGTCTTTTGGGGTGGGTTTTTTTTTCCCTTCGGCAGTGACTCACCTGGCTTAATATCAGTAATAAACTTTGAACCACAGGTGGAAAATGTGCAAAGCCAGACAATCCAGCTGGTATGCTACTTTCTGTGTGTGGCGCTGACAAGAATATAGTGCTTGGACCAGTTTCAGGTGGGAGGAGATGTTAATTTCTCTTCCCACAGTCTGCAAAAATGCCTTTTGAGACTTTGCGATCCGTTTGGAATTTATGTAAGGCTTCTGAAAAAAGTCACTCTGCGTTAATGCCAAAGCATGCCAATTGACATGAATATTTGTCAATTTTGGTTGTTCTACCTCCCACTCGGGTTTTTTTTTTTCCCCCTGACTGTTTCACTGTGGAGATCATCCCATAGAGAAAGTTGGTTTCTCTGTGGAGCTTGGGATAGCAAGAAAGATCGGTCTTCTCATTTGGCACATTGGTTGAGTTTTCCCCTTATCAGATTGCAGAAGGAAGTCCCGTTCTTGAGATGTGTTTTGGCTCTGTGTAAAGGAGAGGTGACCAGAGGAGCCAAGGGACTCGATTGTTTCCAGTAATGTCTTAGATGAGTCTAAGCGTCACGTACAGAGCAAAGACTCAGGCACTCAGCAGGGAGGAGAAGAGAGGCTATGGTGCTTAGGTTGTACTTTTTTCTCAAGGAATGAGATGATTATGCTTAGTGTAACGAGTGACCCTCAGCAGTCGTTGGCGGTGAGCAGGAAATATCGTCAGAGATGGACCCCATCACCCAGTAGGGAAGTTCAGATATGGATTTAGACTCCATAACTAGGATATATTTGTGCCATTCCAGACCAAACAGAAGAGGACCTCTGGGGATCTGGGCTGGGACGGAGAACTTTGGAAAGCACTAATGGTGAAAAGATCAATGTGAATCTCATACTGCGTAGTTACAATTCGTAGCAAATGTTTCATTTTGCCTTTGGGCTGTAAATGCAGAAGCAAAGTCTGAGGGAGTGCACAGCACTGGAAGGTGGTGCTTCCTGTAGAAACTCACTGACTGGTCTGCACATCAGGAAAATAATTGCAAAGAAAAGAATTAGATGTGGATAAAAGTAGATTCAGATATTAGTCCCGCCTGAAAAAAATCAAGCATCTTACCCTGAAGAACGAGCATAGAATTAAGAAAAGGCTCGGGTTAACCACTGGGAATACTTGGGACAACTTCAGGGAAGCGTTGCAGGAATCCTAGCAGTGGAGCGTTGCACGGTGGACGGTAGAAAACAGCAGAGAACCAGTCTGTAAGGGTGACCCAAGGCCTTGCTGTCGGGAACTGCCGGGGTTCGTTTTCAAGGTCTTACTGCCATCTGGTGACTCCTGGCAGGAAGAGCCGAGTCTCTTTGATGAGCTGTTTGCTCTCAACGTGGGACTGGACAAGAACATTTTCCTTCCCTCTGCCATCCTTGTGCGTTTGCGTTATATCTGCCCTCCGTCTGCTGCCTCAAGGTATCCATCTACCCATGCAAAAGGTAATGAGCAAACACCGTTTGTCATCCAGTTAATTGCAAATGTCACAGTATGGGCTGGTTTTTTTCTCCCAAGAACCACGAAGAGGACCAAATTGTACCGTGCTGTTTCTCCCCCTCTTAATCCTTTCCCTTCCTTTTCCATGCAGAATACAAACCAAGCTATGTCCGGAATCGCTCCATCCGTTCTGTATCTGTTGAGCTGAATGGAGCCATTTATAACTTGGGTTTAGAGGATGGATACCAACCCGTCTTACCCAGAAACATCACCAAGCGGCACAAGATGCAGAGGGCTGTTCTTCGTGAGGAGGAAGATAAAGACATGGGGGAATACAGCGGCACCGGTGGCATTGCGGAGTATACAGCCCCTAACCTCATAAAAGTGACGCACAGGTGAGCGCGCGGGGTACTTCTCAAAGCTTTTGCTGCTCAAGTGGCTGCTTTAAATAAGTGGGTGTGTTAACTCGTGATAAGCATATTGTGTCCCTTTTGGATACCCACTCTAGCTTCACTGAAATTCTTACTCTCATCTGTACGACAGCTTTCGGTTTGGTTTTAGTTTTGTCATGTGCAGAGGCCCATGAAGCTACCGAAGAACTAAAGCAGTGTTTTTATGTCTCCTGCACTTTGGGGACAGTAATCACTGATCAGGGCACGTTTCCAGCGAGGACAAGCAAAACTATTTGCAACCGTTGTGTGTACACCTAGGTGAAACCAGGAAAGGCTCTACCCCTGGAAATCTGAGTGTGCAGCGGGTGACCTGGCCTGGCTGAAGACCGAAGGCTCTAACTGGAGCACGACCTGGCTTCGTGTCAGTGGTGGCTTTGTATTTCAAACACCAAACCACTCCTAAGGGAGGAGGCAGCCTCTCGGAGCTTTCTGTAGCCCGTGCTAGGAAGGGAGCACCTGTATTATGAATGAAGTTGGATGGACCGGGAGTATTGGGAAATGGAGCATATTGAGAGAGAGGTGAGGGAGTTGTCTGGGCACTTGAATAGCTAAAAATCTTTTCCTCAGTGTGCAAGGCTAGGGTCTGACGATGTATCTTCCACTGTACTTAATTAGTTTAGTCACCATTTGTGCTTGTGAATTATCAGGAAATCCACCAATTATTATTGACTACGTGCATTAAATTGTTTAATGACTAGCTCGTGTAAACGTGCATGAGCCAGTTAGCGGCTGTTGAAATCAGTTGTTTCCATTTGACTTCTGTTTACAGGGTTAGAGACTCGCTAATACGAGGAAACGTAGCTAGGCTGACATCAGAGGATTGTGCCCTCTTACCCCAGCTCTCGTGAATGTTCAGGGCCCATAAATCACCATTTGTGCTTTTCTTCTGAACAAGTTAAATTGATTTTTGCTGCCTTACTGGGTGAATCCCAAATCCATACAAGGAACTGTCAGGAAGGTTGCACATAATTCCTGAGGAGTCCCCAGGAACACTTGCAGAAAAGAAGGCAGTGGGACAACATGCATGAGGTGGTTAAAAGAACATAAAGGAGCATTGAAAATACTCAGCTTTAATTTAAACAAGCATTCAGAAATTAGTACCATGGTATTTGTTGATTCCTAATAAACTTCTCGGGTAAATCTGTCAAGCTTTTTTGTTGTTTGGTTGTTTTTGAAAGAATTTTAAAATCTGGATTGCATTAGAGGTTAGTGAAACATAAGCACTTACAATTTTCAGAGGGTATTTTGCCTTTGAAGCCAGGGAGATGTCTTTGAAAAATTTTATCCCTTTTGTAGAAAACAGCAAAATGTTTTTGTTTCTCCCTCCCCCCCCTTCTTTATGGTGTAGTAATACATCTTATAAAGAAATACTTTATCCTTGCCCCTACCCCTGTATCACTTAATTATGCATTGGGAAATTGCTTCTGAGTAACGCTTTCTGTGCTTGCTAGTTAGTAGAGATTATTTATGTAGACAGCCTAATGAATAAGCCAGCACTCTGTGCAGCACAATTTACATACAGAAATTAAGCATTCAACAGGTTCTGCTTGATAGGAATATTCTCCATGAATTTTTCTACTTCTGAAAAATTTCCATGGCAACTCCAACCCAAACTTCTTTCCTGGCTGCACGCTCTTCTCCTCTTGAATGAACACTGGTTTTTTGAATTCTGCGTGTCATTTCCAATCTGGCTTCTCATCTGTCCTGGAGCTGTGTTATTAAAACCAGCTGTTTGCATTGCTCTGTATGAGTGTATCCACAACAATAAACATCGTTTGCTTTCCCGTGCCAAGGTGCTATATCCTGGAGAATGACACCGTTCAGTGCGACACGGATCTGTACAGGTCACTGCAAGCTTGGAAGGACCATAAACTTCATATTGACCACGAGGTCAGTGATGTTATCCGTCATGCATTTTCAGTGTGTGTTTTTAGCATGGTTTTCTGTGGGCTGATAGGATCCTGCTGACTTTGTTTGTGACTTTGTTATCTGCCTCTGGGTATCTGTGTCTCTCCCTGGAACCTTTTGAACTTGCTGGCTGATTTCAGAACAGGTATTTGAGAGATAATAAAGTTATTACAAGTTTGTGAAGACAAGATGCTGAGTGGAGGAGAAAACTGCAACGCCAGCTGAGAAATGTCATAAGCCTTATGAGACAAATGAGAGAAGTGTCCCCATCCTGGGAAAAATTTCATCTGGATCTTTTTCACATCTTATCAGCCCTGCTCCCCAATGTACCTCTCAAAAAGATGCCTTCAGCTGTCAAACATAAGCCCAAGCAGAAGTGAGCTTCATTAGTTTCTAGAATTATTTATTTTGCTTGCTTCTGTTTAACCCTTGCACTTTGCAATTGAATTAATTTTCCTTAGGCTTGTGCATATGAAGCACCTGGAGATAATTTGCCCTATGAAATTTGCCTATAAAATTTAATCTGACATTTTTGTCACTAATATTGAAGAATACAAGCTCAAACCCTTGATGCATGTTGTGTATGAAAGAGGCAGTCTTCTAAGGACCAGATAATGGTGGAAAAAATGCCAAAGAGAAGCATAAAGAAAGGACCTTTTGTAATCTCTTACCAGATTACATGACTTCACAGCAAAGAACTTGTTGGATGCCTTTTATGGTACAGATTGACACGTAGCAAGGCAGATAGATACTGAAAATCTTACTAGCTCTGCTAGGATTAAAAAAGGGCAATTTCAATATCGCCATACTCTTCTAATTCTTTTTTCTTCAGAAAATGTAGGCTACACGGAGTGCCAAAATGAGAGCTCGCTCCTATCCTGTTGTGCTTCTGATTTAGGGTCGCAGGGCTGGATTCGTTGTGTATTTTTCTTGAACGCTCTGTCCTGCCTGTGCTTCAGCAGCCGCGTGCTTCCAGTAGACTTATGGTCACTGATGTCTAAGGGCAGCTTTGCAGTGACTTTGTGGTTCACACTGGCTTACCTGGGTTTTTTCTGCTGTGTAAAGAACCGAGGTAGAAGCCTGTAATACCCGTCTGAGTGGAGACAGGCCACGCTGTGTGTGAGCTCGGCTGAACAAAAGCAGGAGTTTCATTTACTGAAAAAAACCAGGCAGTTAAAAATAAACCGTGTGGGTGGCACAATTAACTGCTAATCCATATCCCATGTGGCCGGACGTTGCTAAAGGCTGCCATGCAAAATGCCGGAGCCTTGCTGCTTTTCTTTGTCAGAAGCTCTGAAGAGGGGACTCCAGAGCACTCCCTGCCCATCCCCTTTCAGGTTCATAACAGGCTGAAATTTAAGGGCTTCATTTTCCTTTGAGTAACCTTCTCCCCTTGCAAATGTGCTGTAGGGCACAAGAGGAGAGATCAGAATGGAGCCAGGAGTGGCTGGGTGTCCTCGCCACTGGGCGCCCCCCCCCCCTCTGTGCCCCCCCTTCCCCCGCGCCGCATCCCGCTGTCACATTCAGTAACGGAAGCAGGCAAACCGCACCGCGAGCCTTCCTCCTGCTGTAGTTTCTTTTTGGAAAGGTAGATAATCTGAAAGCACTTGTTAGTGGTGGGAGTCATGGCAGAAGGTGAAAAGGAAGCGTTTGGTGACAATAGAATGGGTTTGAGAAGGTTAGAATCAAGACTAAATCATGCTGCATTTTTTTAACTTGTATCTTTACTTTTTTTTAGATTGAAACTTTGCAAAATAAAATAAAAAACCTGAGGGAGGTGAGAGGTCATCTGAAGAAGAAGCGACCTGAAGAGTGTGACTGTAACAAGATCAGGTATTTCTTGTGCACTTCAGAGTAAGGATTCGTGGTGTGCAGCTGTAGCTGATTTGTGTCTTCACGGGAGAGATGAGAACCTGTTTTAAGTGGCTGCCTACTTACTGCGCTCCTGTGTAACACCTGGGGCGGTTGGACCGCTGCAGGAGCACAGGGCCCACCTTCTGCCAGGCAGGAGGGTAATCGCCTCTGTGTCGGGCGGTGGTGACGTAACCGGACGCGTAACACGGCTCGCAAACCAGTTAGTTATGCTCTTGGGCTGAAGATGCTGCTGTTAGACACCAGAGCTTAATGTTTTAAGCCGTAGGCTTTTTTCTGAAAAATTGCTTTGCGCGAGGGCAAATTGTCAGTATGGTGCAGTGTTACACAAATCCATTTTAAAAAGAATAACGTGTAAAGTATATGGAATAATAGGGTGAGAGATGAGAGCGTTTCTTCCCGTTCATTTTCTTCAAGGCTGGATGGATTATCTCATAGGAAGCAATCACTGCAATATTTCGCAGTTATGCCAGGAGGGAGAAGCAGGAATTTAACGGCTGGTGCAGAGTAACTGTATTTTTGTAACCACCGCCGACTTAGTGCCCCAGATCTTTTTGTCCCCCGGTGCAGATGATTTGTGAGTTTTAAGTGCAACTGCTCAAATAGTGATTATGCATTAAGGTCTCTGCATAGCTGGTTTCTCATATAGCCAAATATTTGCCAACTGCCTACGGATTGCATGGAAGGTTCAAGCACACCTGGATCCTTCTGGGGAGCAAGCAAGCTCTTGCTCTGCAAAAAAAGCACAGCAGAAAATCTTTCAAAATCAAACAGAATTTGCCCCTGAGAAAGCTGTTCCGAAACGAGGAGCAGCTGCTCCTGCTCATAGTGATCACAGAGCAATCTCTGAGGCTGCTGTGAGCCCGCCGCCAGCAGCGGTACACGTATCGCCAAAAAAGCCGCACTTGGATGGACTCAAAACCACAGGGCAGCCGTGCCGTTATCTGTGGCTAAAGCAGCTTTAACTCAGTAGCCTCTAAGAGAGGGTACGGATGAAAGTCTCTGTCTCGTGGGTGTAACGGAATGAGGTTTTGAGCATAACACCTAAAGCCTTGGAGGCGCAGCGTGCTCCAGACGTGGGTGCGCGGTCATCGTGGCCCGGGTGGGTTCTGCAATGCAGCTTCAGCAGCGGATGACTAAAATATGGAGAACACCAATTGCTTGGGTTGTGTCAACCCATCCATGGAACCCATGGCAACGAGTGTTTAAAAATGAAATCAGTGTCAGTCTAAATGGCAGATCCCCCCAAAGTTCGTATTATTTCATATTCCACTGCTTTCCAAACTGATGTTAGCAACTGAGTTTATTTACTGTATACTGTAACGATGAAGTTATTTTTATTAGTGAATGTGTTATAGTAAATGTAAAGAATGTTATATTTTTCAGGCCCAATATAGGAAGCACTTGTATTGTGCATAGCATTATTCAGATGAATAATCCCACTGAAATCAATAAGTTAATCACGTGAGTTACATCTGTTTCAGTGTTTGCAGAATTGCATCGAATCAGGATTTAGCGTTTAGGATTAGTTAATGAAATACCCAGTGTCTGTGCAAGATAAAAAAATTGACTGAAGATAGGTAGTTCTTTAGTAATTTTATTTTGTTGATTTTCTGTAAGGATTACATTTATTAAAGCTCCCATTAGCATTAATAATTTAGAAGATTTGTTTTGAAGGGAATTTTCAGCTGTCAGCTAAATTCCGATGCACTGCTTAGAAAATAACATTTATCGAACTTCTAGTTTGCCTTTGCTGATTTGTGTGGATAGTAGCTTTATCAGTCAGAAAACACTGCCATTGACTATGGCTGTTTTGTCTTTTTTTAACTTTGCAAACTACACAGAAATGAAATTTCTGCAAAATCTTGTGAGTTTCTGGAGTTTTCAGTAGAGCCACCCAGCTAGAATGCGTGTGTCACCCTCCATATCTCAGAGCATGTGAGACACTGCTATTGCTGGGACAGTTCCATGCATCTTGGTAAAGTTTTCCTGGAACTTCTGGCTAGTAACAATGGAGGAAAAAACCAGCCCTGCAAAGTACAACTGGTATTTAAATTATTTCATTCAGAAGGAAGGAGGTCTATGCTTGTCATCATCTGAACAGATTAGTGAATATTCCGTTGAAAAAATGTTGTAATTGAATTATAAGTCTATTGATTTTATCTGCCCCATGTAAGAACCAATGACAAGTAACATTGAAAATTGTAGCTGGAATAATCTGGGTACGTTGTGCAACACAGTGTCAGAGCACCCATGTCACGGTGCACGCGTGATCCCAGGAAAGCAAGAGGCACAACAAGGCTCTGAGGTGCCTGGCCCCATCTAGCAAGGCTGCTTTGCATTCACCACATACAGGACTAAATTGAAGGGGAGAAGTGACACAGGATTAAATCTGCTTCAGATCCAGTCGGGAAGCATGCTATCAGGAGGAGCGATTGTCTTTCTGTTGCTCATCAACAATGCTGGTTTTATTTTCCAGTTACCATTCAAAACACAAAAGCAAACTGAGGCACAAGGGATCCAGTCTTCATCCTTTCAAGTAAGTGAAGGCCTGTTCCTTTGGAAGAGGAAATGCAAAGACGTTAACGTTGGGTCCATGCACACCAGTTACAAACTAAGCAAAAGTAGCAGTATTTCATTTATCCTGTATTAAAAAGAATAAACACGCAGACACCTGGGCAAGGAACTAAGCCCGTATTGAAATGCTTGTAAATTTGAGAGAGGGTTCCTGGTTTGGGAAATGTCAGGTCACAGACGGCAGGCAAGCCTATAAACCCCTTTGGCTTCACTTTTTTTTTTCAGTGATGTTGAACTGCAAAGAGTTATATCCAGAGGCATCTGGAAGAGAAGCCATTTAATAATTAAAAAATACCCATTATTTCATTCCCTCAAAGCAGCTTATTTTATTAGCTGCTTCATTTTTTTTAGGTGTTTTCAAGTATAACAGAGTCTGCATGACCCTACTGTTTCATGTGTGCAGGAAAACCCTACAGGAGAAAGACAGGCTGTGGCTGCTTCGAGAGCAAAGACGGAAGAAGAAACTGCGCAAATTGCTTAAGAGAATAAAAAATAACGACACATGCAGCATGCCTGGTCTGACCTGCTTCACCCATGACAACCAACACTGGCAAACTGCTCCCCTGTGGACACGTAAGGATACTTGAAACTGAGGAGTAGGTAGGCGGGCACTGGCTCGGCTGGGCTGGACTCCGGGTACTAGAAGTCAGCGATATCATCCGTTCTGTCGCCAAAGCCACGCAGCCTTCCTCGTACTAAATAATCTCTGTTTCAGTGTTGGCATTATCCTCGCCCAAAAGACAAGGGAGTTAAACCCAAAACCAACTGCAAATAAAAACCCGCAGATACTGTGTACAGTAGAGTTATGTGCAGCATCTCACCAGCTGGAACGTTTCCCAACCAGAGCAGACAGAAGCAACTAGCCGAGATGGTGCTTAAATTAGCCATGTCGTGTGGGTTAGGTACGCGTAGAACAAGAGGCTGATGCTGGAAGGCATTCTCTGCTTTAAAGCTTGGCAGTCAGACAGAGTAACTGTCTGTGAATAAAGTAGTACCAGAAACAGAAAGTAATAAACAGTGCTGATGTCTTTCTAACTCTTCAATTTGCAGTGGGCCCTTTCTGTGCCTGTACCAGTGCCAACAACAACACGTACTGGTGTTTGAGGACAATCAACGAGACCCACAACTTCCTGTTTTGTGAATTTGCTACTGGATTTTTGGAGTATTTTGATCTCAATACCGATCCATATCAGGTACCTGATCATAGAACAGCTCTAGAAATACATCATCGTGCCTTACCGATGATAAATTGAAATAGCGCGGTATTGCTGCAGGATGTAGATGAGGCCTAAATCTTTGAACGTAGTACGAGTTGGCTTCTTTCCGTTACAAATAAACAGCATGTGTTCCATGTATGAAAGGTACCAAACTACAGAGCAGTAGTTACTAACAAGAACCCCTGTTTATTGCAGCTAATTAATGCGGTGAATACGCTAGATAGAGACGTTCTCAATCAACTGCACGTCCAGCTCATGGAACTGAGGAGCTGCAAAGGGTATAAACAGTGCAATCCAAGAACTAGGAACATGGATCTGGGTAAGCGCCTCTCCCATTACACTCAAAAACTCCCCAAAAGAAATGGGGCTCTTCCGTATCGTTGTGAAACTTGTATCAGTCAAAAGGACTTTAGTATTTATTTATACTAGTAATGTCCTGCTGAGGCTGATGGCTGCATGCTCCCATTTTTATATTTGTTCAATTTGTGTTACGTCATATCAATGAAAAATGATACTTAAATAGTATAGTGAGGAGTATTGCTGAGATGCAGGGGAAGGAGATGAGGAAGGAACAAGACTGGCGAAAGGGGGAAAGAATACCCTAATAGCTGCTTCCAAGCTCACAGACTCGGAGGACGACTCCAGGTGGGAGTTCATCCAGTCCAAACTTCTGCTCAACGCAGGGTCAGCTGTGAGGCCAGACCAGGTTACTCGGGGTTTTATCCAGTCCTGTCTTGAAAACCTCCAAGAATGGTGGCTGCACAACCTCTCTGGGCGACTGGTTTGGCAATTAAGTTTCAGCATTCCAACTGAAGGCACAATTTTTCAAAATACTTCTTTTGGGCAGGCTCTTGTGGTGAACTGGCTTAAAAATAACTTTAACTTCAAAAAGGTTGCTAGTGCTTAAGCTGATCAGTTTTCCCCTACTTGTGTTACTGCAAGGTAGTTGTGAAATAACGCCCATCTAAGAAGGGCTGCGTTATGCTACCGAAAGACGTGCTCTTGTAACTATGGATTTAAATTCCCAAAAGCAAAATGGGTCTCCACTCTTGTTCTAGGTTAGTTTCATCATTTCCTACCCCTTATGTTTTCTCTGGGTCTACTCAATGGATCTGTTTTTTATACTGCCTGTGATTTTTTTTACGTTTAATGATGATAGCAAACCAAAAGGTACAGCTACTTGTATTTCTTCTTTTTACATTGCATTTCTTTTACCCCTTAGTACAATTAAGTTGACATAAGAAATGCTATTTTTAAAAAATGTATAGCCTTTAGAGCTTGAAGACCCCCACCCCAAAAATACTGTTATCTACCCGAGTCCACTCAAGCCCAAAATACTAATTCGGGTCTTATTTAGTACGTGCACCACACAGAGCTGTACATTTTGAAATCAACAGGTTTTGGCATTTAAATACACCACTGAAGGACACTTACAGAAAAGTTTCAAAGAAAGATAACTACCCCAATTTACAACCTCTTTTACTTAGAGTAAGGGATTAAATATGAAAATAACAGCTCCAGTTAAGATGGATGGCAATACGCATTAATCTGTTCATAGTCTTAGGTCTTTTTTTTAGATTGTGCCTTACCCGATACCTTACTCTGTTGCAGGCAATAGTTAGTAACATTGGTGTTTTTTTTTCCTCATCTAGGACTTAAAGATGGAAGCTACGAGCAGTACAGGTACGTTTTAAAAAAAATAGTTAAATTATTTTTCTGAAGTACTACCTTCATGCTAAAGGAGTCAGGAGTGTGGGATTGGGAACCACGTGAACAGTCACTGCCTGGAATGGCGTCTGCCAGATTTTTCCATCCCAGTTGCTTTGAAATACTGGAGCTATTTCTGTTTCAGTGTTCCAGCATGTTCTAATCTTTGTGGTCAAAATTCAGGCTGAACTCTCTTCCTTCCTCATCTTTCAGACTGTAGTGCTGGTGGTTTTCTTGGTGATGGTTAACTTTTTTTCTCCTTTTGCTGCTTGAAAATTAGGCAGTTTCAGCGTCGAAAGTGGCCAGATGTGAAGAGACCATCATCTGCCAAGTCACTGTGAGTTGGGAGCAGTTCACGAAAAGCTTTTCCTTACCTTTCTTTCCTTCACTTGTCTTTTTGCATGCAACACCCTTTTTAACATCATCATCATCATCTATTCTCATGGAATGTTTAAGTGGGAAGTCCTCTAAATTACACAAGAAATACGATACTGCCATCGCTACAGACAACCACTGCTGTACAAAAGCTCGGCACGTGCTTTCTGGGAATCTAGGAGCATTAAGGTCAAGGCAACGTCAAACTTGAGCAAAGGTGGATGCCCAGTTGAACAAACCAATTCTGGTTAACTGCCACTAAAAATTAGAGACCATTATGTTGGTTTTGTCTAAATTTTTAAACTTGTAGCGGCTACCTAGTGGTCTTCCACACCATCCAGAAAGAACAAAATTGACTGTAATTTCTCAGAGTGTGTCGTGTATTTTCTTGCTATTTGCCCAACCACAGCCTCATGTGTTGGGAGCACAAAAAGTTAGAACAGAAAGTAGACTACAAGACCAATCTGTGCATTTGTTTTATTCTGACATTATACTAAAAATCTAAGATTGCTTTTTGCTTACTTAACTGCCCTTTAAAACTTGATGATACTCAGTTCTCAACTTGCCAGAGCCCGAAGGTGAGATACAAATTCAAAGACATGAGAAGTAGCTACCTTTGCCATGCCAGTCACGGTCTCTGAATCTCCCCTCAACAGAAGGTTGAGACTTCAGCTCATTAAAAATCGTAAGGTGCTCTCAAACTGTGCAGTGAAAAAATATGTACAAGTACCTTAATAGGCAGTCTGGCATTCTCGACTCACCCAAGAGGATTTGCTCATTTAAAGGTAGTATTTTTTATTCCTAGCTGAAGAGATCCAAGACTGGCTTTAGAACCAAAATGAAGCTCGAATTAATGAGATACAAGTTTTGTGAAGTTTCAGACAGGGTTGGATTTTTTTCTGTGATATACCTGCTGCATTTTTATAGGTGGTCCACAGTGTTTCAATTGTTTTTTTCCTGCACGGAACCATTAAAAATACCTTCTAACTTTCTAGAATGTTATACGCTAAATGCTGTTTCTTTTATTTTAAAGAGGCCAACTGTGGGAAGGCTGGGAGGGCTAACCTGCCCCAACTGCTGCACCTCCATGAGGATACACACTGGCCAGAACTTGAATCCATGTACAGACTAAATGAAAACGTGTATGACTTCAGAAAGGATTATAACGTTAGCCTGGAGGACTGGATAAACTTTGAGGCTGAAATAGATAGAACGTTTGCACTGGTGAGTGAATTAAATAGATGCAGTGAAATTATGGGAAATGCCGTCAGAACCACAGGTCTCTGAAATCCACTATTGTACCTGCTTTTTGCTTTGGATTATACCTCACCTGCTTCACAAGGCGTTTTACTTCAAGAAGACACCACTAACACTGATCCAGGATGGCCAGAAGAGGAAATACAGCCGCATCCCAAAGACGACTGCCATCCCAGGGGGCAAAGTGTACGCAAAGGCAGCAGAAGTAAACTTAAAATGTTTTTCAGGTCAACTGTATCTTCAGATGTCACGGGGAAAACTTCAAAGCCAAGTATAACTCTAAAGCAAGATTTAGAAAACATGGACGCTTTTGCTTCTAACTGGGGTAAAGGTAACAGTGGAAAAGAACTTTTAAGAGATGCAGGAATTGAAGTGAGCAGCACTGAATATTCTCAACACCGTGATTCTCAAATTTCCTCTGAGGATACGTTTTAGTTCCACAACTACTTGTCCTTCCTATTGACACCTCTAGGAAAATTAGAGAAAAATTCTGACTAACAGGACACCAGATTTTTGGAGGGGTTGTGTAAATATTGATCAATATACTGTTTGAAAATAAATTCCTTCAGGTTGTGAAGAATTTTGTTAATAAAAAAAGAGTGGAATGCCCACACACCATTTCTCAAAATGTTGCTTAATGTTGCATAGTGCATTTCAGAATTTATCCATTTTTAAAAGTACTGAAAAAAATTCAGTAAATGTACATCTTAAATTTTAATGAAATCAGATTTGTATGAAGTTTTTTTATGTGGTAATATTATATTGTATGTTCAAAACCAAAACAATTCCTTTGAGAAAGCAGCATTTGCTCAGTAGTGTAACTTTTACATTTACTTTAAAAAAACAGGCAGCTCCAAGAAGTTCAATACTTGTAGCCAATAAAGAATAATCTCGTTATAGTTCAGTCTACAAAAAAGTAGATGTTCTGAATGACAGTTATTGCTTAAAGGCTTTTAAAGGGGAAAAAAATCATTTTGCTAAGGAAGCACAGTGTACAGAGTCTATTTGAGTATTTTCATAAAGATGTTATTAAATACATTGTAGTACAGGCTCTAGTGGTGGTAGTTGTATTTATAATTTTTTTCATGTTAATCTGCTACCTGTTTTAAAGGCGCATGCAGGAGGGAGCTCATGTGACAGACTCGACCAACTGTGGCCTTCACTCTTAACAAAGAGGTACTTTTTTTCAAAACAGAAACTTACCTTGCACTTCTAGAAACACAGTGTAAAAATACATTACGGAAATTACTTTGATACCCCTCCTGGTTCTGCACATTAGGAAACTCAAGTGGAATTACTTCACAAGAGAGATAGATCTCTGGTACCACACCCCCATACTGAAAAGATATATTTGAATTTAGGAACTGAGGGGAAAAAAAAAAACTATTCAGAAAGGGGCAGTGGGGTCTTTCATTGTATGTGCTATATAGACAAACTAGGCTTGAGCTTGTATTGTATCACACGTAAGTTGAATACACTTCCCAAAATCTTCTTGCAAGTTTTTTTTAATTATGGAAGTAATATATGATTGTCTGTCTTAACCTAGCCATAGATTTTGTTTTATAACCTCTAACAGATTTCAGAGAGTATCAGAAGCATCTGCTACATGATCAACGCAAATAAGTAAAACTTACTGAATTTAAACTCACCAATAGAAACACATTTTTGCTGCTTTCCAGAGAAAAGTGTTAGCTGTCTACCATTCCCAGTGAGTATGCAGAATACTAGGCTAGATTAAAAAAAATTTGCACTTACCTTTGTTTTGTGTTCAGCCTATAGTCTTTGACAAGATGGGGGCGTGACTGCCAAAAGCCTGCGTGGCCAGTGTTACTGCTCCTGTCGCACACCAGGCAGAAGCTTGAAAAGCTACCCCGTCCCTTTATACCAAATGTGGAGCTGTGGGCCTTGCATGTGACAAGGTAGGTTGTTGCCAAGTTCTGGGGAAAGCTCCCACCTCTTCGCCATTCAGCTCTGCTAAAGGCTGCTAGCGAAGTTGAAAAAGACATAAATTCCACTCGGTGCCAGTGCAACTGTAGTTGCTAAATGGGTCTCATCGGTGGAAGGTCTAAGCTTACTCCCTGAGCTTTCACGGCCACCTAGGAAAACATTTAAATCGTTTGCTATACATAGCTTGCATCGGTAATAGCACTGGTTTTCTCTGACCTTTCCAGGATACAGTTATCGGCCTCAAAGTATTAGACAGCTAATACACTATGTCACCAAGTTCTGATTTTAAATAGAAACCTTTATTTACATTATTATTAACATCCAAACACAAAAATCAGAAGAGCAGTAATACCTTACAACCAACTCTTATATAAATCAGTCCCTGTGATTTTTCTGTTTTGCAACATAAAGATACAGATATTTCAAGCAATACTTAATGTAAACTAAACTTAAATGCAATTCTCAATACTGTATGCCTTCTCCTGAGAATTTTTTTAAAATATTGCTCTCAGAATTACATGGTTTCATACTTGCTGTATCATTCTGTCATCTGGTAGTCTGCACATAAATTCTAAAATAAAATGTGTGCTAATCAGTACAACATTCAAATAGTTTTGTCTTATGACTGAAAAATGCTCCTGATTTTCTAACTTTAAAAGCAGTATTTTAGGCCAAGACTGGAAAAAAATACTATGTATGAATTTTATAAAAACATGGTTTCTGTGATCAAAAGAGTGACATGTAGCAAAACAATGCCTGTTATGCAGCAGTGATCAGAGGTGGCTGTACTACTTGTTCTCTTACTGTTGAAAAACGCTACACAGGTTGGTTTTTAAAAACATTCAGAAAAATCTGCTGCTACAGAACCAAAACAGAATTGGTGGAGATACTAAATGTCAACAGATTTCAAGGTCAGTTTTAGTTACTGCAAAGATAAGATTTTCAAACTAGATGCAGTATTTAGGATCAGTGCTGCCAAGAAAGATGTCATCAAAGCATTTTAAAAATGCTCCCCTAAAAAAAAACCCCCCCCCCCCCCAATCAAGTTTAAACTAAAAATCTTTGGATTCAGCAAAAAAGTAGGTACTGGAAAGCTCCAACATTCTAAACACAGGTGAGAAAATGATGATCCTTTATAACACCAGTCAGGTACCAGTTATACATAGATGTATAAATAGAATCACTCATTTAAAAAAAATTAAAAGGGCACGATGTATAAAGTAGTAGATAGTCTAAGAGCTCACCTAATGAAAGCAATCAGGGTTTGTAGTTTCCATCAATATAATGAACAACTACAAAATATAAAAGATTGTTCTACTCTGATTTGCTATAAAAAGCAAGGGATTGTTGCCTTTCAACTTCAGTAGGCAGCACTTACTCAACAAACAGATACGTCCTAAGAAATAAAAAAGAAGATAAAAGTTCCTTAGGCTTTTAAAAGTTTTGCATTAAAAAACACACAGGAATTGGACTGAAGGTTTCAAATAAATACTATCGCCTAATCTAGAAACTCAGTACTAATTGCAGAGACAGGGTTGCATAAAGTAGATTGATTGAATCGACATTCCCTTTGGAACACAACTGGCTGTATGCTAAGGATGAACTTTTAAAGAATATTTCTAGTTATTTGTATTAAAATGGAAGATCGCCGAATATGCTGAACAATAAAACCACCTCTTGCTTACAGTACCAAGAAGAAGCAATCAAGAACACCATTTTTCCCCCCCCCCCTCACTTGGGAGAAGTCAGTTTTCCACTACACAGTGAACAACAGAACAAAAGCACCACACATCTTAAACATTTCTGGGTCATCCCTTATGGAAGCTGAGAGGTTTGACTCGTTGTAACTGCCTGAAACTGGGAAAACTGCAAAGGGATCTTCATTTCAAGGAACCAAAATCGGGGGTTGGGGCGAGGACCTATCAGCAAATAATATGAATAAATCTGTAACCAGACTTAAATACTGATATGAGAGAAACCTGCTTAGAAAATACATTCATTACTATTAGAACATTGCAATGAGGTGCAGACATTTGGTTAAAGTGTGGCTTAATATCCTTAAAGATTTCTGGATGTCACGTAACAACAAATATTTTGCAACAGACAAACTTTTCTGAAGAACACTTAGAGTTCATTAGAATTGACCAAAAACGACACAATCCAGATTCATCAACTGAAAAGGCAACATATTATAGAAAGACATGATGGTCCTGACAAGTCAATAACAGCTTACAATGCAGAGCCTTTTTCTTAAATTGCCTTATGTAAAAAGAAATGTAACAAAGTGCTCACAGGTGGAGAAAGCATTTAACAACTGGTCTTTTATAAAAAGCTATATGTTAAAGATGTAAAAATAAATGAAGTGTTGAAGACCAAAGAAGAGAAAGATGCTGGCCAAAGTCACCCAGCTTCAAAAAGTCATTAAATTTAATTAAGAAAAAAAAAATAATTTCTATTTGGACCTCAACTACACTGAGTTTACAGAAATCAATTTTGTTAAATATTTAGCCTCACAAACTCTGCAAAAATGAGTTAGTGACCTACAAAAGTCATATATATAATACATTATCTTAAAGATCATATTTACAAAATTTATTCACAAAAAGACTGCAAAATTCTGATTCAGACTGCAGTGCCTTGCCTTGAGTTTTCTGAAGTTGTTTTCAAAAAGATGAAAGATTATTGCTCTAATTTCCATACACAGAAAACATTACATTATGCAGTCTTTTCAAATAATTCTTAAGAGATTGTGTTTGAGAAGGAACATGAGTACACCCTACCTTCATATTAAGTCCTTATCAAAGATATTGCATTAATCCATTATATAGTCTTTTATAAAGTGCACTCAGCTGCACATCAATATGTAAATATTAGTCACAATTGTGTTTGTTTAAATAATTTAAATTTATTATCCTCTCTTTTTACCCCTTGGCTTCAATGGACAGGATTTTGGACTAGTATGTGCCAATTCATTTTGCACTGCTACTTTGCTTGGGAAATCCTGGCTCTTGGGGGTGAGAGATTAAAAGCAGCATTTATATTCAGGAATTA